GTATATCCATCTACACAAACTCAAAGAAAGGATTAAAAAATTCAAAAACATGATACTCAATATCATTTAATAGTGCACTTAACTGTAACTTTAAAATTCATACCCACAAATTGCAATTATAACATGGTATCACATGACATTTGTATATATATATATATATATATATATATATATATATATATATATATTCAAAATAGATCCAAGTCATTTAATTGAGTATCCTCAAGTAATTAGTCTAATTTTTTGCTTTAATTTTCAGCAAACAAATAACCCCCACTATTTTAATGCTTTAATGATATGCAACCAAACATATATCGCATTTTAAGATCAAGTCCTATGCATTTTAGTATAGAAAATTACTTTGAACCTCCACTATTTGTCACAAATTTATGACATGCAATGGAGTATATATCTATTGCAATTAAAGTAAATGACCCAATTAATCATACCCATTGGAAGTTCACTTTTACTTGTTAAGAAGAAACTTTTAAAATTTCTTTCACAATGCGTGGTGGCAACTTGTCCAGTGCAGCAACAAGTTGTAATTGTTCAATAATTAGAACTCCATCGAATCTACTTCTCCGATGCCTTAGTTTCTTGTTAAGCCTTCCAAAACTTTTGGTATTAGAATAAGAAGTTTCATAGAAACTATAATAAGCCATTATAATACTAGTAATGGAATTTAACAACTTCCCTTTTTTTGGCTAAACTTTTCTTCACAAACATCTTTTATACTTCATATATCTCATTGGTTGAGATCTTCTCTTTTTATTCCCGTCCATAGGTAAACTACTAAAGTCACTTGAGTTGATAGTGAGGACTTATAAGTTGAACTCCACCTTGATCTATTTCACCTTAAAATTGTTATTCCGCTACGATAAAAATACAAATGTTAAATAGAAAATCAACAATAGTTATAATAATAGTTATAACAATTATAAAATTAACTATAACAAAATAGTTAAAATAATAATATAATAATGCACAAATATGGAGGGTTGAGGCACGGATATCTCGTTTTCTTTAAAGTGATTCAAACCTCTGCAGAAGAATTAACTTCAGTCCAACAGAATTTCAAGCTTGTTACCCCCAAGATACAACAGTCCAACCACACTTGCTATTACTCTCATTAGTCTATACAACTAAGAGAGTATAGCTTCACTAATACTGGATTTTCTTGCCAATCTATGAGATAAAAAATAACAAAAGAGTGGATAGTTTTTCTCTTATGAATTGTAACTCACAAAACATAGGCCCCATTTGGTAAGTGAGTTTTTTTGGGTGTTTGTCTAAAATTTTACTGTAACTTACTGTAGAAGTTTTTAAAAAAATTTTTGAAGTGTATAGTTTAAAAACTTTGAGAAGTTTTTTGAGGTTACTGTAGCTAAAGTTTTTAAAAAACTTGTAGCAAACAAATTTGACAAAAAACTTGCCTGCCAAACAAGGCCATAAGTTCTTGTAGCACCTTTTTCTATCTCAATTACATATATTTATAGGTGAAGAAATATTAGACAAATATAACCTACACCACTAATAAGACACCAAGTAAATGCTAAAATTATTGGCCATTCAAAACACATTGAAATTTGTATTGTAGGTTACAAAAACTTATTGTAATTGAAAAGCTAGAATTTCATATAATAAGTCTTTAGTCAAAACCATTTAAACACCAATAAATTTCAAAAATATTTTCCAATTTATTCCTTGTAACTTACACATTTAATTGAGAATTTAACTATTTTATTAAAATACTCCAACAATATGCATATCATTATCATTACTATATACAACATTTACCCAATAAACATTTACTACTGCACCATTCTTTTTCCTTTTCTTAAGCACATTTTTATCCTTAATATGACAATTAAAATTACTGTTGTGTTTCTTGGACTGACAATAGTTTACTTGAGGTATTCTAGATTATGTTGATAAGTGAATACAAAATATCTTCAAAAATACTTTTTGGTGTTTACGCAGCATAAATCAAAATGAATTCCTTGTTAAAAAATCATGATATTTATGTCAAAAAAATTACGCTAATTCAAGCGTAAACGATAGAAATATTATTCCAAGAATGCACATATTTCCATTCTCATAAACGCATTTAAGGGGCAAATACTAGTTGAGAGACTTTATAAGACAAATCACCATGTTATAACAAACATGGTATAGCTGTTTTTGGTAAAACAAGCATGGTATAACAAATCACCTATTGGCTCCGTTTGGATTAGCTATTTTTAGAATATTTTTGAAATATTTTACTGTAACATTGTATATGAAAAATTTTTACTATAGGTGTTTTTCATGATTTTTTGGAGGGATTTTTGGAATATATATTGAGGTACCTTTTGAAATTAAAATAAGTTTATGGTATTTTTTAAAAATTACTACTACTACCCACAACCATAACCACCACCCCCTCCCTCCTCCTTTCTCCTCCCTCTCCCTCATTCTTCCGCTTTCTCCTCCCTCTTCCCCCTTCCCTTCCACTCCACTCCCAGCCCTCCTGTCCCTCCCCTCAATCTGGTCGCGGCCAGATTGCAACCAGAAAGTTGCGACCTTCTGATTGCAATCTAGCCACGACCTCTAGTCATAAGGGGAGGGTAAGGGGGTGGCGCGGAAGGGGAGGGGAAGAGGAAGAGGGAAGGGGCGGAGGAGGGAGGGTGTGGTGGTTGTGTTGGGTGGCGGCGGCGATGGTGTTGGGTGGTAGTGTTGACCTGTTTCCTCGCTTTGTCCACCAGGCAACACATAAGGGTATTTATAGATTTTTCACTTCAATTCCACAATTTAATTTTCTATGGCAAAAGATGTACTATAGCAAAAGATAATTTTTGTAGAAAAATGTACTATAGCAAAAGATAATTGAAAAATGTGCTCGTAGAAAATGTAAAAAGTTTTTGGAGAAAAATTACAGTTCAAACACTTTTCATTTTTTTCGTTTTCTTAAGCACATTTTTATCCTTAATATATCAATTAAAACTATAGTTGTGTTTCAGGGACTAAGAGTAGTTTACTTCAGGTAGTCTAGATTATGTTCACAAGTGAATAAAGAATATCTCCAAAAAATAATTTCAGTGCTTAAGCAGTGCAAATCAAAATGAATTCGTGTTAAAAAATCATGACATTGATGTGGAAAAAATTACGCTGATTCAAGCGTAAACAAATGAAAGAATATTCGAAGAATGCACATATTTCCATTCTCATAAACACATTTAAGAGGCAAGTACTATTATGTACTAGTCGAGAGACGCTATAAGACAAATCACCATGTTATAACAAGCATAATGTTTTGCTTCTACATATTGCATGACACTAATCATGGTTAACGTGAAAACAATCAGGAAACAAAGAGCAACTGAAAAGTAAATTTTATGTACTTAGTCATTAAGTTGAGTGCACCTACAAAATTTGAGTGAAAAGTAATTTTTACGTACTTAGCCATGAAGGATCAAGTGGGACTCACGGAAGCAGGATGAACCAATCATGATTGGATGAGAAATTTTATGTCGAGCAACTATTATTCATACCTAGTATGGATATATATAAAAGGAAATACCTAGTATGTACATATAAGGATTCTACTTACTTATGTACATATTAAGTGGAGTCCATTTGGTATGTTAAATGAAATCAAGTGGAATAACTACTAAACATGTTTAATAATTGATTCATGCTGACATAAAATTTTCTGCATTGGATGAATGTTGGAATCTCTATTGCCACATGGATCCCTTTGCTAGATAATTTTCACTTTTTTCTTTCTTTTTCCTGCCTCACTGTCTTTCTTTCCTTTGGGCTAAACTAGAATTTGGGACTTAGGAGTGTGGAATCCATTAAAAGTTCAGTAAATCTTGTATATATCGATAGTATATACACTTTTACGGTTGGATGCACGATTCATATGTAAAATTTAGGTTTAAAATTTAAATTCAGATCATGTGCAGCGTATCCAATAGTGAAAGTGTATAAAATATTAATTCTTACAAGTTAAGACATCAATTCCCGCAAGTCCCATTTGTGGATGTTGTTCCGTGTTCCTCTTTGCTACTGCCTGGAGGATCGTGGCCTTCGCTTGGGTAAGGACCAAAAAGAATGACAGGCCTACATTAAAATACCATCCCTGTTACCTCTAAAAAGACAGAAGTAATCCTTTCATTAGTTTTTAGTATTGGACAATCCATCTATTTGCATTGTACACATGGAATTTGAAAAGTGCCTCTATATTTTAAGTGTTATTAAAGCGATTTGTCTAATGGGTACTCATAGGGTATACGTTAAGATGTATTTCAAATGTCATATTTTTAGAAATATAAAACTAATTAGGAAAAGTAAATAAATACAATGCAGAGTAGACAAGATTAAATAGAAAAAATATATAATTATAAGAAAGGATAATAATTGTTATATGCATATATATATGGTAGGTTAGGTGAATTTTAGATGTGTTAATGGTTGCTCTTATAGCAGCCGTTAGAAAAACCTTTGTTTAAAAAAGAAAAATAAAATTTATACAAAATGGAGCAACTAAATTTGAGTTAATAGGAGAACACGATTTTATATTTGGAGCACAAAATCACTTTCTTGAATTGAATTGTACCTCTGTAAACATTTAATTAGAGCTACAAGCTAGCGGCAATTTTATAGCGAGAAGGCTCTGGCTGCTTCTCTGATTGATTTACACTGTGGTTCAAATTAGACAATTAGTTTGAGAACCTGAAATCTGAAAACCATAATCTAGCAATTGTTTAAGAACAATATCGAAATTGACGCAGAAACCATTACATGAATGTTGTAATCTTAATGCTCACGTAACTGCAAATTTGAGCCGGAAATGGGAGGAATCTATCTCCAATTTGGTCAAAAAAAAAAAAGAAGCAATCACTAATAAAGGACCAGATTGATCAATACCTTAGTTTCAAGGGACGAAAATGATAACTTTTACCTTGGTCTTGGTCTTTGTTTGGCACTAATGAAGATGCTGGGAGTGTGAGCAAGATAATTTCATCGCTTCTGCAGTTCTGCTGCACCATATCTTCTCTGAACAAGATAGCGTCTTCCAATATTTACACCAAAAAAGTTTAAAAAAAAGTTCCAGCCTATTGTTTGTTTGCTATTGTTAGATGAGAAAAGTGTAGATCCTGAACTAATTTTATTCAGTTGTTAAACCAGATAGAAATCCGATATCAGAGTGAAAAGAAGATACCGGAATGCAGGTCCCCGACTTACCCATGAAGAAAAGAAAAATAATGGACATCCCCTCCAGCAGTAACACTAGTTCCTCTGATTTTGCTTTATACGACTATCTGCAATCGCATTGTATCTCCTCCAGCACTAGTGCTAGTTGCTTTGATCTCGCTTTAGATTGTCTTGCCAGGGTGTTTCCAGGGTGTTTTGCTTTCAGGGAAGTCGAGTACCTGAAGAATAAGGTAAGATTATTGAAAACCTTTTTTCTGTATGTCAAAATGTGTAGGAGGAGGAGGAACCATGAAGCGCTTTTGGAGCATGATCAGGAGCACAAAGATAATACTATATCTTGCTTCAGAATTCAAGATGTGGTTATCAGGATGGTTCATGATCTTCAGTCTGCTTATCTTCTATACAAACATTCTGGTGAGTCAGACTTTGACATCTTAATAAGTGCGGCAACCAGATCCCGGGAAAATATCATATTTTTTCTGGAGACAGATGTCAAGAAATCATGCAGCACCATCTTCTTCGACTGTTACTCATGGGCAGATCCACGACTAGTTATGGATCTTATTGTGTCCCTTTCACAGACTCTGGAGGACTTTTTTTCCAAGGAGCCAACGGATATCATTAGACACAAGCTAATGCTCTTAAGGAATCTCATTGGCTTTGTGACAATGCGAGGTGTTGAGTGTAAGCAATTGACAGATCCCTTGAGTCAAGTTGCAATTGTGGCTGCACGCCTATTTTCTGTATGTCAGCTTGACAGATATGATAAACAAGTGGTTAATCGAATGAAATCCGAAATTTCTCAGCTGATACATGAGAAGATAAATCCTCTTGATACTCAAGTCCGAGAAGCATACATAGATGTCCTGACAGCTTCAAAGAAACAATCAAGATCATCATGTGCTTTAGCCCTTGAGGAGAATGAGTGTCCAGTTGTAGTTCAATTTGTTGAGTCTCTCCACCATTATCTTATGGATCTACTGGGATACCATGCCAGTTTTCAGGTTCCAGTTAAGGATCATATTCTAAAACTCCATCAGGGAATAAGGTACTTGAGTACCCTTCTCAAGCAAGAGGAGAAACTAGATGATGAAATGAAGGATCTTCTTGGACTTGCAGTCTGTGATGCAGGAATTCTGATCTTCTCCCTTTCTGTCAATGAAATCAAAGAAGGCTTGCCCAGGGAAACATATCTTAGGCTGTTTCATTTGCACAAAGTTCTCAAGTATATGATGGCAGATCTTGCACACAATTATCTGGTAACATCACCATATTCATCATTTAGTTATCGTAGATCCAATGAGTTGGGCTGTATGGATTTTTTCCTAGAAGATCTCCAGGAACTAGCAAGGTGTGATGAGGCTGATGATTCAAATGTTGTCCGATTGGATAGAATCCAACTGGTCCACAAAGATCTCGTATTCTTAAGATCTGTCCTTGAGAATATCAAGGAGCAGCGCTTTCAGAATGGAAAACTCCAAGCTTTCTGGAGTTATGTTATGGAGGTTGTATATAAGGCAGAGTTATTGATTGACTCGACACTTGTTGGTGATAAATGTGAAGATTCTTTGGATGCTATTGGTAGAGATATCAATCTTCTGAAGATTGAAGCCCTGGAGATCCATAATGGTCAAACCCAGAGAGTTAACAAGAATTCCATTCTCATACCGTCACAACTTGCTGCCGCCATACACAATGAGGATCTCGTGGGTCTCGACGACAAGGTGAAAACTATCATTGATCAACTTACGAGAGGATTAAAGCAGTTGGATGTTGTTCCCATTGTGGGTATGCCTGGGCTTGGTAAGACCACATTAGCCAATAAAGTTTATATTGCTTCTTCAGTTAGGTCATATTTCCATGTTCGTGGCTGGTGTTGTGTTTCTCAAACATATAGCAAGCACAGTTTGTTTGTTCAACTTTTGTGTAGTATTCATTCTAAGAGTCCAAACGAATATCTTAAGATGGATGAAAATGATTTGGTTCAGAAGCTAAAGCAAGTTTTGCTGAGAACTAGGTATCTCCTCATTTTGGATGACTTGTGGGATGTTGAGGCATGGAATTTGTTGGAAAACTCATTGCCGAATGATGTCAATGGAAGCAGGATTCTTTTCACCAGCAGATTCCAGGATTTGTCTTTGCAATTTAAACCTGGTAGCAAGCCTTACCATCTCTGCCAACTTACTGATGAAGAGAGTTGGGCCTTGCTACAAAAAAAGCTATTTGACAAAGAAGGTTGTCCTCCAAAACTAAGTGAAGTTGGATATCAAATAGCAAAATTTTGTAGGGGCTTACCCCTCACAGTTGTCCTTGTTGCTGGAATTCTTGCTACTATTGCACAAGATAGCTGGGAAGAAGTTGCAAAAAGTCTAAGTTCTATTGTCCTTCATGATGAATACTGCATGAAGACACTTGAGCTGAGTTATAGTCATTTACCAGATTATTTGAAGCCATGCCTTCTATACTTTGCTGCATTTCAAGAAGATGAGGTTATTGATGTCCGAAGGTTGTTATGGCTTTGGATCTCTGAAGGATTCGTGCAACAGACTGAAGGAAAGAGCTTAGAGGAAGCGGCTTACAACTACTTGATGGGTTAAATTAATAGAAGTTTAGTTGTGGCTAACAAAAAAGGAGCCATGAATGGTGCCAAAACCTGCCAACTTCATGATTTGGTATACGAGTTTTGTGTGAAAAAAGCCGAAGAAGAATGTTTTCTACATATTATTCATAGTTGGAAAGACCCTTTTGGTCTTACTGGACCAAGCAACCCCCACCGAGTTTGTGTTCATGATACCAGGGAATTGAAGATTTGGGAGTTAATGCTACTTTTTCCCAATTTACGCTGTTTGCTCTTGTTTGGAAATGATTATTTTGGACCTCAAGAGGAGGATGGGGGGATTTTGTTTCCTAAACTTCTTAGAGTGTTGGATTCGGGGGGTTTGATCATTGGAAAATCATTTCTGATGGAAGTAGTATTACTTGTTCACTTGAGATACCTGGTGCTCAGTGGAATACGATCCATCCCATCTGCAATAGACAACCTCTCAAGGTTGAAAACTCTTATCGTACAAGAGGTGGATTTTGTTGTTAAGCTGCCGGATACTATTTGGAACATTAAGACGTTGAGTTATCTACGTACTATGAATTTGAGTCCTGGTTTCATTTTTCCAGATGGAAATCTTGAAGTATCCCCAGATTTAGATCATTTAGAAACTTTAAGCCTTGCAATTGATCCCTCCGCCCAATGCTTGCAAAGGATACTGAAAAGGTTACCAAGCATCCGTTGGCTAAAATGTTGGAGATCATCTGGTTTACAAGCATGTGCCAGAAATAGGGACAAGATTCTTGTGTTTAACTGCTTGAAACTAGAATCACTTCATTTGGAGAATTTTCAAAACTATCGATTTGAATTTCCGTTGAATTTGAAGAAGTTGGTTCTCGAAGGGAATAGACAGCCATGGAGTGAAATTTCAACAATTGGAAAGTTGCCTCATCTTGAAGTGCTTAAATTACTCGATGACTCCTTTATTGGGGAAGAATGGGAAATGAAAGAAGGGGAGTTCCCTAGCCTCCGCGTCTTGAAATTGTCAGACTTGGGCATTCGCAGATGGACCGCATCTTCTGGTAATTTTTCTCATCTTGAGAAATTGGTTGTGGACAATTGTGATGAGCTGGAAGAGGTCCCTTCTTGTTTAGGGGAATGTCCGACTCTTGAAACGATTGAGGTGACAGATTGTCCTGAGTCTGTTGCAAACTCTGTAAACCAAATTCGGCAAGAGCAGCTGGATATGGGAAATGCGATTCTAAAAATCGTAATTGAAAATCCCTCAGAAGAAGAGTCGAATTCGCAAGAAGCAGAGGAGATTTCCTCAGAAACAGAGTCCTTTGATTCGGGTGAGAGTGAATAATATAAAGTGGGATTCGACTCATCAGGTCAGATGAAAGTATATTTGCAGATGTTGAATCAGTTCAATTATATAATGATTCCTGTTTCTCTTCACAATTTACAATGGCGAACCATTCATCTGTTTATATGTTGAATCAGTTAAATGATATTATTAATTCATGTTTGTTGAAGCAATTTCTGGTCGCTCCCGAATTCTTTTCTTTCTTTTTTTTTTTGGTGGACCTTATGCTGGTATATAACTTTCTTATTTCACGCATTAACCAAACCAACATTAGCCACCATAATCTGTTTCTAAAATCTTCTGCTTGTTCTTTTCTGGTTCAGTATTGAATAATGTTTATATAAGGATCTTTAGTCCCAATTTGTGAAATCTTCTTCCATGCTCCTACATATTGATATGATATTCAAAACCAGAAGAGAACAAGCGCGCGCGCGTACACACACACACATATATATATATATATGTGCTACCTATGTATGATTGTGCTCTCAATTTGTGTATATAAGTATGAGTAATACAGAAAAATGTTAATTTGCTTCTATTTTGCCTCAATTGATTGATATGTTGAAACATACATAACAGTTTTGCAACAAATATTAAGAGGAGGCACAAACCAAAAAAAAAAAAAAAAAACCTATGTTTGTTACTTTTCAACGTAGAAAGGGCATAGTCATCCTAACTGTAAAATTTTGTGTCAATACTTTAGAAATAGTTTTAAATATCTGTAAACGTGTGTCTTTCTTCACTATATTTTGCTGAAGTACAAACACTTTTATTCTTCACTAAGCAATATTCTAAAGGAAGCAATTTTTCTTATATTTTTTTTTAACGTTGTTTCATGTTTTATTTTCCATTTTAAGTGGTGAATTGCTCGAAATGATCAAAATGACAAATCAGAGAAACTAGATGACTTTTTTTTTTTGGGTTGGGTGATCTGTATTTCTCATCATTCAACTGATGTAGTGCTGCAATTATTCCTTCTTTCAGAACAAGTTTCCTTGGAAGAAGAGCCCATTTCTTCTCACCACACTAGAAAATGGTGAAGACTGAGAGATTTCCCTTCCTGTTTAGGTGAATATCGTGGGCCTGTTATAAGTTCTATGAAGCAAATTCTACAATTTCGCAGAAGAAGAGTCAGTTCACTCAGAAGCAGAGTCCTATGCCATAATTATTCATGTTTCTCATAACAGTCTGTTTCAGCATACGTCTTTTCAGGTTCTTTTCTCATTCGAGGTTCAATATGTTTGTATCTCATCATGCCAATTTGATGAATATTCTTTGATGCAGCTGAGATCGATGTGATGCTTAAATGTTCAAACCAGCAGAGTAATACATATAATTGTAACCAAGCGCTCAATTTATAGATACGTTAAAAGATACAATATAAAATATTATTCTATTTATGATGTGTCTTCAGGGAGCTTAAAAAGTGTGTTAGTATATGAAAATATATTTATTTATGTGAAAATGCTTATGCAGGTTAAAAATATGTTTTTGTATGTGTAAATGTATAAGAAAGAGTTTATATATCACAATGTATTAATTAATATGTTGGAGCCATATTTAAGTCACGAGTTTAAGGTGACCCAATATGATTCAACTTAAAATCAACTCAATCTAAAGTTGGATGGATTGGATATAACCCATTTAAGTGAAAACCCAATATCAATCTGCCCAAAACCCACCCCTAATTGCTAGGTATAAAAAAAATACTTTAAGTGTCTTCTAGAAATAGTAAAGTTTGTGACTTAAGTAAAGCAACTTAACAAAAAGTTTGTCAATAAAAACTAATATAGTACCCTTACCAATAACATAGTATTCTTGGGGATAAATTGCTTCTTTGTAGAAATAAACTTTCCTAAACAATCAAGTTTGAATGAAAACTTTTATCTGCTTGACAATAAAGTTGTGACTTATAATTAAATATAAGTATTTTTTTCTTAAAATAGAGTGCAAATTATGTATTTTTGAGAAAATTTGACATATTTTTTAAATATACTTAAAAAGTGGTACTTGCATTATATACTTAAACAGTAATATCTTTTCTCAAATAGTAGTATCTTTTCTTATAATATGTTTTCTTGTATTTGAAAAATCCAGGAATTGTTAATAACATAGTAATAAACTAGTTCCTTTGCTGTGCATTTGCATGGGCACTTTATTATGTTCTAAAATTTTTACTTTTTTGAACAAAAATTATTATAAAAATTTTAAAATCCTATTTTATAAAAGTCAATATACTAATTGTAAGACAAACATTAAAATTAAACATTAAAAATTGTTGATTTATAACAACTTAATAATTAGTTTCAATCGTATCTTATTTCATAATTCAATTATGTTTACTCTAATTAATGGTGACTAATCAACATATGAGTCACACAGATGTATTAGGAAATAAGTGCAATTAAATATTTGATGCTTTCATGACTAAAAAGAATTTTAAAAAAAAATGAATAGATGATGCACTAATTATTTGCTCAAATTATTAAAAAAAATAAGAAAAGTAGTTTGGAGAACTCTTGCAACCCTATGTTTATATGAATATTATTTTGGCTTAAATCAAATTGAATGGAGAGAACATAAAAATTAATAGAATATTTTAGGAAAGAATGACTATTTATACAAATTAAATGGACTTGTATGACCAATATGCTAAAATTGTGTACTATAGATTCGTTAAAAAATTAAAATTAATTTTGAAATTAACTCTAAATACGGGATTAAAAAGGACTGTAATTTATTGTTATTGAAAAAAAAAGAATAAAATCCACCAAGAAACATAAGCAGGCACAATTTTTTTTCACATGGCAAAAAGATAAAATTTTATTTGATAAAATATAGCTAATTTGGCAATTTACTATTACGAGAAGTGAACAGCGAATATATATCTATGTATGTATGTGTATGAATTTTGTAAAGATGAATGTACAATTAATGGAAAATTTTGTCCAGATTTATTGTTATCTAAATATGAAGGTAAAATTAATATGTATATATGGAGTGAAAAACTATCCATGTAAGAATTAACTTCCATATTTTGTCTAAATTTTAGTAATAGCAATAAATAATTAAACCAATATTAGAAATAAAGAATGTAATTTAAGATGATTAGAAAAGAAAAGATATGAGTTGATTGACAAAAAAATAAAGAAAATATGATTAATACAAATTTATATAAGGTAAGTCAATAATAGATTTCTTGAAATTGACTATAAGTGAGAAACTAGGCTATAAATACGTAAGTAAAAAAGAAAGGGAATTAATTGTTACCAAAAAATAGAAAAACACAAATATTAAAGGTGTCCACATGGCGAAAAGATAGATAGTACAATTCAGCAATCTGCCAAAACCAGAACTGAACATTGTTATATATATATACATATATATATATATACATATATATATATATATTATTTACTAAGAAAGTGGTATATTTCCTAATAAACTTATATTTTGCCATAAAAATCAATAACATTTTTGAGAAAAAAGTAGTATATTTTAAGTATTCAATTAATACCCTTAAAGCATTATTTGCGTAGAGCAAAATAGTTAGTATTTCACCGAAATCAAGTCATATTTAAACACATATTCAATTGGAAATTTTTTTTTTTTGTTTAATTCTTGGGATTATTATTAATTTACCTCCTTAAATTATAGCTTCTTTTTTTTTTTTTTTTCACACCAAATCCCTAGTTCCCTTTATTCTTCTAATGGAAGGTACTCCTAATCTGTTAAGCCTAATTTCCCCCCTGGCCAGCAACGGAATAGTGTACCAACTGTCATAAATCCTAACCTCTTCTAGCGGGTGAGAAACCCCCTCATTGGACAAGATGTCAGCAACCTTGTTCGATTCCTTATAACAGTGCATGAAAATAGGACGTTCCCCCGCCAGGCTCAATATTTGCTCCACCTCTCTCTTAATGTGCCAGGGGCAATGTAGCCGCCCTTGTAATATCCCAATCAACAGTAATGAATCAGCTTGTATAGCCAGACGTTCAACTCCCTTCGCACGACATAACCGGATGCCAACCAAGGCAGCCAATGCCTCTGCTCGTAGACTCGTGCCCTCTCCAAGGAACGCCGAGAACGCAAACACAGCATGCCCATTCGAATCCCTGACCACCCCCCTCCTCCACACACACCCGGATTCCCCTTAGAGCATCCATCGGTATTGAGTGTCAGCACCCCTTGGCCTCCCCCCTTCCATCGGACAACGCTGATATTGTAAACATAGGATGGGTAAGAGATCTTCTCATAAAATTGGGGGAAAGTCAGCATACCCAACTCCTTCTGAAACCGAATCTCAAACGCAGCTTTGACATCGTAAGCAATCATATTACAAATACCTCGGTCTTGCGGCTGGATACCATCAAAGACCGCTCTATTCCTGGCCTTCCAAATATTCCAGCAAATGAGACTAGGGAGCACATCCAACACAAACCTCTGCTGCCGAGACAACGCCGGGGAAAGCCATCACGTAATCAAACGTGCATGTACTTCGGAGCCCTGGACGACTACACCGCACATGTTTTGGAAGTAACTCCAGACCTGGGAGGCCAGTTGTCCCGTGGAAAATACATGCTCGAGTTCCTCTCCTGTGGCAGGCACACAGCAGAAACATTTGGACGGTAACTGAAACCCCATCCGTCCCAGAATGTCATCTAGGGGCAATCTTCTCAGTAGCATTCGGTGCATGAAAAAGGAGATTTTCAATGGAATGCTAGATTGCCAGATTCTGGAGAAAGCCATTGAGTTATTCCGAACCTGGCGGACCTCTTGGTAGGCCGATGCTAAAGAAAATTTCCCTGACGTCGTAGGCATCCAGACAGCTTCGTCAGGGAACCCCCTGCGAGGCACCGGGAGCCGTACCACATTAGCAACACACTCCGGCGGTAATATTTGTGCCAGCCGATAGATATTCCAGCTCCCATTGCACACCAATTCCGCAAAGGACACATGCGGCGTATCTGCCACTCTAAGGAACAGTGCCCCACTCCCCAACCAATTATCGTACCAGAAACTGCACTCCCCCTCATTCACCAGCCATAATATAGATAATTCTACATGCCGGCTCACATTTACCATACGGCGCCACGTTGCCGACGCAAACGGAGCGATGGTTGCTTGACAGGGGTGGATCCCATTACAATATTTTGCCCGCATGAACTGAGACCACAAAGATGATCCTGTGCGCAAACACCACCATAACTTACACGAGAATGCGTTGTACACCTCCCTCACTTGCCGAAACCCCACCCCCCCTCTTCCACCGGATAACATAGATTGGACCACCGGATCCAGTGGTGCTTCACTTGCTCGTGCGATGAGCCCCATAAGAAATTGGAACACAGCTTCTCAATGCTTTTAAATATTACACCAGGGACCACTGCAGCAGATAAGAGATGAATGGGCATGGATGTTAGGACGTGCTTGATCAACACCAGCCTCCCTACTGGGGATAATAGTTTCGACTTCCATGATATAATTCGGGCGGCACTCTTATGACACATCTCCCCATAATAGGCCGATTTGCACCTTCCCAGATATAGAGGGAAACCTAGATATCGAACGGGGAACTGCTGGCGGGAGAATCCCGTTATCCTCTCTATTACCCTCCGGCGCGATGGTGACATAGATGGGTGAACTAAGTAACTACACTTCTGGACATTCACCAGCTGGCCAGAAGCTTGCTGGTACTGCTCTAAAATCTGCATGACTTTCTTCAAGGATGTAGCCGAGCCATTCGCAAAGACCAGAACGTCGTCGGCAAACGCCAGGTGTGTCACAGGGGGACATCCCCTGGGTACTGTGTAACCCAAAAAGCCAGATTGAGCTGCGAGACTGTTCAGCCCCCTTGACAATACCTCCGCTCCAATAACGAATAAAGCCGGAGACAAAGGGTCTCCCTGACGGATACCTCGACTAGATTTAAAAAACCCATGTGATGCCCCATTAATAATCACTGAAAACCACACGTTTGAAACCAACCTCCAGACCATGTCAATGAATCGTTCCCCAAACCCAAATTTGCGCAAGACACCGACAGTGAAACCCCACGAGACTCTGTCATACGCTTTAGCCATGTCTAACTTGAAAATTACATTTCCCCCTCTAGCCCGGTGTCTAAATCCCGACATCAATTCCTGGGCCAGTAGATAGTTCTCAGTTATATTCCTACCCTTGACAAAACCCGTCTGTTGCGGTGACACCAGTTTTGGCAATATCCCCGCAAGCCTATCCGCCAAAATTCTAGATAACACTTTATTAATAAAATTGCAAAGGCTAATAGGCCGATATTTCGAAAAGTCCTGAGGATTTGGTACCTTCGGGATTAGAACAATAGA